TTTTAACTATTTCACATGATGTACAGATGAAATGTTGCAGTAACAATATATTGTATAAAATATCTTTAACAGCGAACAAAGTGAAGCCATAAAAATAGAAGAATATACATTTTTTAATGCATTGCCTATCTGTTGCACTTATGTTGCAATTTCTCATTAACATTACAACATTTAACGAGTTTTCGTTTCATAAAAATTTGCAAAGCATCCCTTCGATATATATACAATAGATAAAAAAGAACTTTTAAAAATAGTCATTCTTTAATTGCTTTAAGAACGATAATTATTTATAGACAAATGTTACTATATATCATAACACAGTAACTCCAATTCGTTGGTAGTTGAAATGGGTTTGAACAACGTAACGTTATTAGAGTGAGCAATTATAATATTTATCAGATCTTAGCAATTATAATATTAATCAGATTTTATAAAATAAAATTTACAAATGAATTTAAGAAATCTAGATGTAGTAAAAACGGCTAGAATTATGTCCAAAATAAACGAAAACTCAATAGAAAAAGAAGAAGGAAACAGACAGGCTAAACACCTTTGTCTCGATAATCGCTTTCTTAAATGTATCATGATGAATATATCTTTCTCTTTTTAATTCATTCTTTATGCAAAAAATTAGATTGTGTAAAGAGAAGGAGAGATTGCACGTCTATATCTGAGAATATTTTTCTCTTTTTAAAATACAAAGAATTACGTTATAAAAATAACGTTTCTTTTTAAAGATAAAAATTGTTTTGATATAATAAGAAATGTCTTTACAAGATAACGAAAGGAATTTGTTTGCTTTACATTTCAAAATATTTTTAGTTAGATTTTAATTATTGTTAGATCACAATGGTAAAAGATCAATCAAATTAGCACGGGGTTGGGTCGATGATTCGGGAAAAAATTCTGTTAGTTTATCGTATAATTCAGTTCTCAAAGTATGAATATCGCGAGTAGTCGAATAACATAACGATGTATCCATGTTAACTAAATTTCCTAATACGGCGTCTGAACTATTTGAATTTGTGGCTTCTCCTAACAAGTTTTGTTCTCTGAATAGAAGGGATGTTAACAATTGAAACTGTAATGAAGAAATGTATATATTTGAAAAAGCAACATTGGCAAGGAGTACTCATGAATCATTTGTTACTGATTAAAAAGATGCTACTACCTCTTTCGTTTGTTCCGCATCATTATGATCAATAATTTCCGATACTTCGGTCTGTAAATATTCAAGCGCTTCGACACTATTGTTCAAAGCTAGTTCTTTAAATTTGTGTTTTCTAATAAGTAATTTGCATTTTTTTAAAATTTGTTCATGAGACGGTCTGCATAATTTTAATTGCCAGAAATCATCGAGTCGTAAGTTAGGAAGACAGGATCTCCCAGGATTTCCTCCAAATAAAAAATGAACCTAATAATATATTATGTAACGTCATTATCATTATAGTGCATAAAGCGAAAAATTCATTATAATAGTATATAATATAAAACAAACCTTTTTTACATGATCATAAACTAATTGATGCGCATATCGTGGACATGGTTCATAATCTTGCATTTTACTCCAATATTTCTCTCCGACATTATCATTTCGATAAATACAAGACCATTTATTGTTTTTAATACTATATACCCAAAAAGAATTTTGAACGCTATCAAATCTTTTACCCTTGTCTTTACTTAAACCCTGAATAAATAATAATTAAAAAAAATTTAAATACCAAGGATAATTTTAATTTTAAAGTAAATTATTATTATACAAACCGATAAAACATATATTTCTCCTAATTCAGGATCAATTGTAGCTCTTTGTGTAAATCCAGCTGCCGGAACATGATTCGAATCTTTAGCACCAAAATCATTAAAAATATGTTCGATATGATTTGTATCGACCTCATATGTGAAAAAATCGCTAAGATCTTCTTTGCCTCTTTGACCCGCGAAAATATATAGCTTCCGCAATCTCTTTAAAAAAATAAAATTTCCAAATTGTATTATATTCATAACATATATTGTATAATAAAATATATACATACAGGATGGAATAACATAGAATGACCAGCTCGAGATCTAATAGTTGGTGCATTAGTAGGACACGGTCTTGCAATGTCACAGGCAAGCCTATTCCATGTACCAGTTGGTACATGATAAGAATATAATCCGGAAAAAATTGGTTCAGTTGAACTTGATACCATACCGTGTTCTTCGGAGCTATAAATTAGATATATATGTTAAAATATCAACTAATAATTATTGTGTTAATCTACTTACTTTGTTGGAGAAACAAGTACACGACCACCAAATATATAAATTGTCCGTTTTTCAACATCCATGGACATTTGATGATCAAAAATTAATTGAGGTCCTCCTACAGCACCCGTATCTTCTGATATTTGTGTCCATTTGTTTGATTCAATATCATAGACAAAAAAATCACTCTTTAAATTTTCCGGCGTTCTGTATTCTGCATCTAAGTATTTACCAAGAGTAAAAAGTTGCCTACGTTCTGGATCAAGGCACATTTTGTGGCAAGATCTCGCGCTTGGACCACCCTATAATTTAGTATTTGAATTCTCTACCAAAAAATACACTTTTTTTTTAAATCTTACCACAGCTTCTGTATCTTTACATATAATGGTCCACTTGTTAGAAGCTATGTTATACACCCACAAATCTGAAAGATCTTGATTTCCATCCCATCCCCCAAAAAGATAAAGAAGTTCTGCACTCGGATCAAGAACCATTTGATGACCTCCTCTCATTCCTGGTTTACCATCAGTGAATGATAACTTAGTCCAAACTGCTCTATAAGTTTGAGCATTGATATAGTCATTCAGGAGACCCACTGTATTGTAAATCATATATTTTCTGAGACTGTATTAGAATTATAAGATAAAAAAAAAATAAGAAAAAAAAATACTCACACATTACTGCATTACTTATAAAACATTCAGCTTGCAAATGATCACCTTTTGTAACTAATAAGTCATATAATCCAGTCAATCTAGGATCCTCAAGTGGAACACCAGTCACTCTTTGTAAAGTATCTACAATTTCTGATTGTTCAAGTTTTCTAAAGTGTTTCATACACAGTCTTATTACTTCTTTTTGGCGGTACTGTAATTTATATATATACATATATATTTATTATATATATTACATATATGTATATATTTATATATATATAACATATAAAAATATATAAACATATAAAAATATAACATATAAAAATATAAAAAATATATTATTCCTTATTTGAATATATTATTCTATATTTACCGCATTAAGCCATTCTATACTAGGCTTTACAATTTTAACATCATCAGTGCCAGTTAATCGCACATGCCAAATAGAAAAATTAAAACTAGGGCCCCAGGATTGTAATGGAACAATCTTTATATATCTAACTGGAAAATAATTTTCCTCATTTCCTAATATATGTTTCAGATCAAAAGTTTCTGGTACTGAATCATTTTTTAATCCACTAAAAAGCATAGATGCATATCAATATATATATTTATTATTTATTATTTATAAATGCATATATATAAATATTTCTTATCATTGCAAATTTAATACGTACTTCTCTAAAAGTTCCATCATGTTTTCTGGTTCTAAACCACCGTATACTTTAAATTTTTTTATATTACACACATGTGTTTTCTCATATTTACCAAATGTAATTGTTTTTACAATCGAGGGAAATCGTAATTTTAATATAAGAAACTAAAAAATAAGAATATTTGTTGTACAAATTTAATGTGCTATATTAATTTTAGCAATATGAAATATTAAATTTTATCTTGACACAATTATAAATAAAGATATATAATTTGAATTCCTTTATAAATTCTGTAACAAGTTTTTCAACACTTTTTGGTAACATATCGAGTTAGTTTTGAACAATGTTTACCTGTGGATAAGTGTCAATATCGGAAGACCAGCGCGATGTCTGATCCGATGGTTTATCTACAAGAATATTTCTAAAAAAAGAAAAAGAGCATGTTAATTTAATACTTAGTAAAAAGTCCGGCGTAATTAATATAATTATTTATTTCATAACTTCACATATAATGGATTTTGTTGTTCAACATAACCATTATTGTAGGTTAGAAAATTATTGCCATGTTACAATTGTTTTCCAATTTGTAATTACAAAGTGTAGTTGGAAGAAAACCATTTAAAATTAATGAAGCACTTACTCTGGCACATAAGATGAAGAAAAGCTGGAGCATTTATAAATTTTGAACTCCAAAACTTTCTGAAAATTGCTATTCTCGTTCGACGCCATGTTACACAAATGACATAAGCTTTTAACACTAAATGTGTGTGCCATTTTTATAGATATATATCTAAGGAAGAACACTGTATAAAAATATAATTCGAAAAAACGATGTAATGTATTGTAATAAATTACTATTTGGACAAATTATAAATTAAATTTTATCTTTTTAACTTTTAACTTTTCAAAACAAAATATTCTATTTGTGTACAACCTTTATTAAAACACTATTCAAATTTAAATAACATATTTGTAATAAATGTATATGACATGTCAGGATTTTTTTTATTATTTACACTAAATTAACGAATTCATAAATACATATATATATATTTATATATATATACACATATATATTTATACATAGATATGTATATATACATATATATATATATATATATATGTCTATTCTCACATGTACATTTGATATCATAGTTGTTGATAGTTATGATGTAATACAAAAAATATACACAATTTACAAGTTATAGGCCAAGGGCAGAAAAATAACAACAAATAAAGTACATAAATACGTTAGGTATATATACACATATGCGTATATATATATGCGTATAAGTTGATACGTATCGAATAGGATAAACTGACGTATTTTTACAAACAATACACATTTGTTCATTGTATTAATAATTGTCTCCTTAATAGACTAATTAATTGGCCCCTCCTGACAATATTATGTTTATTGCCTGATCCGACGAAGATTTATTAAATTATTCTGCCCTGTAGCAGACAAAAAAAATAATTGAAACACAATCTATCTTGTCCTTATTCGCTGTTATAGACAAACACAGACATTTAAAGCACATAATTAACATTGAATTAAATCACTTATCCAATAATGAATTATGACTTTCATTTTTGCATTTTGTTTTCGAATACGGGTACTTAATGTTAATTACGCTTAAAATTTATATACAATCAGGTATCACCGATTTAACTAAAAGAATTCACTTAAAATTAAGATAAATTTGAGCTTTAACTCAATTCAAAACCTGCACCAGCTTGTATTGCATATAAAAGTTTCTCGCGTAGAGTTTTCTCATCTGGAAATTCTGGTAGCTTTAACAGATTCATACAGGTACTAGAAGTCGGTAGGCGATCAACACTGCCAGCATGTTGAATGCAAAAAGGTGGGTCGAGTTCCTAAAAAAATTAATATATATGTATATATATATATATGTATTTATATTTACACATATATCTATTAATTAGTCATCAAAAAAGAAATAACCGCTTGTAAATACCTTAAATCCAAGTAAAGGCGGTCGACTGCAGCTCGTAACAAATTTGAGTAATTGTCCTTTTTGTTGGTCATTAAATTCATTAACAACTTTCCAAAATGCAGTGATTGTAGGATGATCAGGTGCATATCCTCCTGTATAATTAGTGTGTAATTTTAAATCGTTTACATCGACTGGAATTTGTGCACCTGATATCAAAACTTGTAGTTCCTTATTGTTAAACATTTGAAGCCAATCCAGGGGTATTACACTACCTATACCTTGTTTAAATGCGTAACACTGCGCTCGAATCTGTTTATTTAACTTATAATCGGCCATCAAATGAATGTATTCGATACGATTATGATTTGTAACAGGAATATTGGCACCACCTGGTTTCAATTCATCGATCCGTCTTTCACCTAGTTCATCTGATAATACGGTAAAATCTAGACCAAGATCCGCAACATCACCTTTGTAACTTTTTAGATACAAAAGATTTCTATACATAATTGGATCTAAAGAAGCTAAATGATGAACATCAACATCTGATTGACGACCAACTATTTTTGATAGAAAAAATTCTGCAAATGGAAGTTCCACTAATAAATTTTCGTATAAAGCTTTTCCAAGAATTCTACCGATAAAATAATAATGCTTCGGGAAATCATCAACCAATAATTGCACTGTAGGATTTGGATACAACATATTATCCTTGGTAAGCCTAAAAAAGCCTCTATTAGGATCGAAGCTTGTTTTTAATAATTCCGATAAAAATTCTCTAAAAAGACCACCACCGTCTACACCAGCTTCTTCTAAACCAGCTGTATTAAAAAGTTGTACGCGCATTTTTAATCGCAATTCTGGCTCATTTTCCGGTGATAATTTATCAAATGCGTCCTCGTAGAGATAGTTTCTTCTTACCGATATTTGTATCGATGGTCCTTGCATGAAGTGCGTCAATTCACCTTGTTGTTTCGTTTTATCTCGATAAATCAATGATTGAAATGCCACTACTCTATTATTAAATGGTACAACAAATGGTATTTCGCGAAGAAGCGTTAATGTTCGAACTTCTTTTGCAGTGAGAGGTGGCCCTTCTTCTAATTCTTCACGAGTAAATACTCGTAATCCTTGAAAAGGAATATATCCTCTCAATCTACGTCTACGAAATGTGAAATCTTGAGGTTTATCAATTGGTATTACAATATTCGAAGCTATCCAATGACCTTCTGGACAAAATTGTCGTCTCAAGTCTCGCATATGCAACTGACGTAATAAGCCAACTATTACTTTGAATAAATGAGTCCACATTTGTGTATCTTGTTGATTTCGTAGGGAACATGTTGGACCGAGAACAGCTCTTTTATAATCGTCTCGCACAGTTGGTCGACTATCGGGAAATGCAAGCTCGACCAAACCTAAGCAAACGCCTTTTAAATGACTTGATAACAATACTAATTCCGAAGTTGTAAACGGCATTGCTTGTTGTCCGTTAATATCTAATGATTGATCTTGAATAAAAAATTCTGTATCATGTAATGTTGCAATAAGTAGACTGAATAGTGAACAAAATACAGCTAATAGTGGAATTATTTTTTTTGTATCTTCGGTAGAAAGACCAATACCCCGTGATATAATTTGCAAAAGAGGCGTTGCTCCTCCAAATAATGACATTTGACAAGCTGATAATAAAGCGGCCCATAAATTTTTTAAAAATATTGGCTTAAAAGCGAGCATATATAACAATTTATATTTATGAATGGCTAATTTGTTAGTGATCAATAGATGATGACAAAGTTGGCACAACGGTTGTAATATAGCTGGATCTTTGCTTCGATCTACCGCTAAGAGTATTCCTTGAACATGTTGCTCTTCATTCAACATTTCTGAACATTCATGTAGAATATCGGCTTGATCTTGATCAATCATACTTGTGGTTGATTCTGAGTCTGAATCATTCGCTTGCTCTATATTTTCTTCAACAATTAATGGTATTATAGTTGAACTCATAGATGCAAGAACTTGTAAATAATTAATAAGAATATCTTTAGATTTACATGCAGCTGTAATAAAAAGAAAAATCTGTTATTAATGTTCTTATCTATTTTTATTATTAATATTTTATATACTTTTAATTTTATTTTTATTTTAATTTTATATACTTACAAAGTCGATTTGATTCTAAAGATAAAATGGAATAAAGTAAACTTATCGTTGGTTCAATTTCAATTCTATTAATACATTTAATCAATTGAATATAGGGAAATTCTATAAATTCAGATAATGATGGAATGATAAACATTCTTACTGCATCAGACATTTTTGGAGATAATATACTTCTACAAAGTTCTTGTAAAACAAGCATAGAAAAATTATCTTCCTGTTCTATAAAAGAAATTAAATCTAACGGTCGTTTAATCATATCTACTAAACATTTTGAAATTGGAGTTGGAGGAACAGAAGTAGGTTCCAACATAGATGGAACTTTATTATCTATTAATTTTCTTAATTGATCAAAATATTTATGCTTTATCAAATAAACGAAGATGTTTCTTAAATATTTATAACTATTTTCGTGTAAAACTTTTTCTGCATCTTCTTGACTTGTAAATGTTTCTATCACTCTCAATGGTATAGCCAATGAATAAGTTCCATTCATCAAAGCTTCTGAATTATGTTGCATGCACATTCGAAGAATCCATCTGTAGATATAATATTATCTTATTTATATTATCAAATATTGAATAATATTTATTATATTATGTTTTTTTTTTATAGAATTTACCTTAACCTCCATAACCAATCTGAACAATTTACACATTTCTGTTTAATTTCTTGCTGATGTTTCAAAAAATGTTGAAGTATCCATATTAATCTGTTAGCATCCAAAGTATGATTATAAAAGAACAATAATTTTTGGAAATATATTGTTAACTCATCTAGATTTAAATTTCTTCGACCATTTATTTGTTGTTCCTCGTCAAATTCTGTTCTTTTAATTATTTTTGTATTCTTTCTTATTATAAAACCACGCACAAATGCTTGAATTTTTAATGCTGCATTATGTTTTTTACGCTGTTGTTCTCGTTTTAAACGTTTTAATTGAGCATGCTGTAGTAAAACTGATTTTTCATCTCTTCTACTTGCACCTGCTAAATTTTGTTGTGGTTTACGTCTATAATCTCCTTCAAAACTATACATGATGCTTCGGTTTCTTTTTAATAGTATAACATTCCTATTTGTTCTTTTTTTAAAAAAAAGAAAAAAGAATAATATAAGTTAATATTGCTTTCTTTATATTCAAATTAATATTATAAATTTAAAAACAAATATTAATATAGATTTAACTATTTTTAATATAATATTTTTAACTACTTACATTATAGGAAAGATGATAATGATAATTTTACCTAATTATTCACAAGATTCTTCTTTAAACATAAATATTTTGCAGTAAAGTATCATTTCTTAATAATAGAAAAATATTGTCAATATTTTTTTTTATTTATCTTTGCATACTTGACAATATTTAATGTAATACCAAAATTATGGTATCGCCAATTCTATTCAGAATTTTAATTTACTTCTAGGTAAAGTTAAATTCTTTTTCCTCTATAAGGTTAATATCTACAAAAACTATTACTTTTTTCTCAATTTATATTGTGATATAATTTACGTTGAAAATTAAACTATAAGCATATTCTCAGAAATATGTTTATTTCAATGTCAGCAAAGAACAACAAGCACTAGATCGTATGTATACGTCTAGTCATCAAATGCTCGCCATATTTTATTTTACGGACATGTTGAAAATCGCAACTATATAATGCGCTTGCGTGTATGCATGTAAGCTTGTGTATATATAAAATTTATATATGTGTATATGTTTATGATTTTCTTTTCGATGAATGAAATCAATTATATAAAATTAATTCTCTTTTTAGAAAAAATAGCTTCATAACATACTTGGAAAGAAATTTAATAACATAAAGTATATCATGTCTAATAAAAACTTAAAAAACTTCCAAACAAAGAAAAAAGTGGAAAGTATATAGCTGATTTCGGAACACGTTCTTTCATTTGCGTGAAATTAAATCAAGAATGGCCGGGAAGATGGCGGCGGCAGAGTTAAAACATGATAATGTTTCGTGCTATGAAACTGTGAAAAAAAATGCATCAGCAATAACATTACATAGAGAAATAGAATGTTATCAATTTAGATTGTTAGACTTGTTTTACTACTTGACTTCTGTCAGTTTTTTTTTCATCGATATAGCAACAGGTGAACAAAGAATAAAAGTGTATATACTATATAGCTATTCCTGAAAAAGAAATTCTTTCTATGGAAAATAATAAAATTTATTAAAGAACATGTTTTAATAAGTGTAAAGGATCATTGGCAAATTGATGTATGTTTAATATATTTTGTATGTAAAGTAAAATATCGTAATTTCTTCAATTTTTACATACATATACGTATATGTGTATATATATATTTATGAATATATGCATACATATAATATATATTATAAATATACAATATGTATTGTATTTGTATATATTTTAATAATGTTATTATAATCATAATAATATAAAATTCACATTTTAAAATTATCTATGATGATTTTTAAGCAATTTTTTTTTCTTTCTTTCTTTTTTTTTTTAATTTTAATATAAAATATATAAAAAATGTAAATTTTATTGAAAAATTTTTCTTAAATTCATTTTGATTTTCTCTAGATCTTAGATAAATATAAATTTAAAAACTAATAGGATTTTTAAGATTTTTTTTTTTTTTAATAAGAATTGTATTTCTAATATTAATATATATATATATATACAAAAAAAATATAAATATCATTATAAAATATTTTTGTTATAGATAGTATTGTTTTTATGAAATATTTTCTACAAGGCCAATTTGTTTGGGGATGTTTTGCTTTGAGTTTTACAATTTTACCTGCTGGTATTATTCAAATATTTAGTTTAAGATGGTATCACAGCGATGGTTCTATTAAAAATATACATTGGTTATTGCACTTTTTATTCTTAGGAGTTTTACACAGGTATTATTTTATGTTTTCTTATAATTAGTTTTGTTATGCCTTTTCTAGATAAGGCAAATAATTTGATTTTTCTAGGTATTTAATTTTACTTTATTCCACAATACATTCATTAAGGAGCAAACGATTTATGAAGGATAAAAATTGGGTATATAGACAGGAAAGTGATATATGTATGTTGCATTTATTTGAGTCATTTATGGGGGCTGCTCCGCAATTAATATTGCAACTATATATTATGGCAGTATTACGTTATACACCATTATGGACAAGTAAGAGAAAATATAAAATAATTATTTCAACTAAAAAATTAAAAAAAAAAATAGAAGCTGTTAAGTCTATGGTAGAGATTATTATTGCTCAAATTGTATTAATAAAAATTATTAAACGTAATTATTTATCACACTTTTATGTCTATTATTATTTTTAAATATTTTAAGATATTATATAGGTAAATAGGAAAAAAGTTTAAAATCATTTTCATAAACTTTGTTAACTTCATCAAGCAATGATCTAGGAACATTTTGTATATATTCTTTAACTAGAGTAGTAGTTGTAACTCCACGTGGATTTATATTTTTTAAATCATTTTTTTCATACAGATATTCATTTAATCCTAATTCTTGTATTAAAAATTTTTGATCTCTATCAAAAGTATCGAATTTTAAAATATAATTATACGGAATTAAACAAGGTTCACAAGTATCAATAAATGGTGCCCAATGTTCATCAAAGTATTTTTCTTCTACTATAAATCGAAGAAATTCTGTAAATGTAGGTTCTAATTTCGTTTCATTTGGTTTTCTATATCGATGATATTTGTGCGTAATATGACGTCCAAATCTTTTATAATAATAATCTCTTCCTTCTATATGTTCCAATTTATCTCTATATGCAGAAACAAGACGTTCAAATGGATGGCGCACTATCAAAAATTTCGTTGTTGTATTTAATTTCTAGAAATAGAAATTGTTTACATAAATAATTAAATATATTTTGTTATCTTATCTTATATACATACTTGATATGTTTTTTTAACATCTCGATCACGTGGAAATGCTTTTCTAACAATTGTATTAATTTGTAAAATATTTCTACGAATTAATTCCATAGCTGATTCAGTTAATACACCTCCAAGCGTAGCAAAATGCTTCATCCAAGTAGAACTTGCTGCTTTATATATAGGGCACCAGGATAATCCATGAATTCTATATAGAATATATAGAATATAAATTTATAAATTACATTTTACAATATAACATTTTAAGTATAAAATAAATTGTTATCTACTTACGTATCTATAATCATATTTGATAATACATTGTCTAAATTTGAACTTGTTCTACTTATGGTTTTACAATATTGTTCTAATTCAATTTTTCTAGAATTCAGTTGTTCTTTTATATTTTTCATTTCTTCTATTGAAAACATGGCTATAGATTTATTACTTATCAGATTGCTATGCTTATTATTTTCATTATTAATAAAATTTTTAGTTCTCATATATTTGTTTATATGTAAACATGAGTTACATAGCAAACTTAATATTAATATAAATGACATAAATGTTATAACAAATATCATAATTAATTTTAATAACGTAAGTTGCCTCTGTAAGAAGAATATAAATATTTTTTATTTTTATATTTATATTAAATATTTATATAAAAGTAATACTTACTTGTAATCCTGAGAACATGTTAGCAAAAATATGCATACATTTCACTTTTAAATAATACAAATATATTATTGTTCGACATTTAAATTCTTATATCTGAAGAATTTTTAAAAATAATAATATTTTGACATATAAATACTTTAAATATAATAGTATAATTTGAAGAATTTGGGAGGAAACTGAAATTGAATGACTACATATCTTCATATCCTCTGGTCCGCCCCCAAAGATAACAGAAGCACAGGAATATAGATATTATTCATATTATTTTATCTTCTTTTATCAGAATGTAATGTGTTTTAGTGTTAGAATCCTATTACATGGCTACTATCTAAGCATTCTATTTGGAAGTTTGCAGCACTGAAACTTTAAAAATAATGTTCTCTTCTCTTAGAGTAGGGTGGGTGTTTGAAGTGCTAAAAATACTATGGCTTCCACTGCCACTGTCACTGTCACTAACTAAAGATTTTACTGGATGTATACAAATAATAATTATATTCAAAATGACATTTAATATATTTTTAAATAAATAATTAAATAGGTTTATCTGCCATAGTCTCCTTTTGTTCGTTGAGCTGGGCTATAGGTACATATACAAAAGCTATGCAAAAAATAAATCCTGACAATAATGAAGCAACATGGATAGTATTAATTCTTCAGGGTCTTTGGCGAGCTGGAATGTTAATATCCAGAATAGCTGTTTTGGTTTTAACAGCAGTCTGTTTAAGACAATGGTCTTTATTGTTTCTTGGTAAGTATAAAAGTGAGTTAACAAGATTGCTCAAAATAGATTTATGTCTTTCATATAGCGTGTGTTCCGTTGTGAATGTTACAGGATTCCACTGGCTCTTTATGACCATTTGGGTACTTCTTCAAAACACAAATTTTTGCCCAACTATATGGGAAGAGCGTATTTATAATTGTATTATAGGATTGATTTATTGTTTTGATTTTTTTAATTTACGTATTGGTAAATCTCGATATAGAGTATTTATATTTTATTCCATCATTGTAATAGAAAACATAGTCTTTTTAGTTGTGTTCGTGTTATATTTTAAAGATATTATTAAAACTGAAAAAATAATAATAATGACTAGTTTTATAATTGGAGGAATGATGATTGGCTTGATAAGTATGTTGTTCTATTATGGAAAATTTCATCCGTCCAAAGTTGGAAATATATCTGAGACTGGTGATAAAAAATCTGAGATTGTAACCAACAAAGCTGTTACTCCTAGATCTTTTAAACAGTATTATCCTAACTCGTTTACGACGTCTTCGTGTTCTATCGATCGTTCTCAAAGGACCACTTCCGAGGAAATCACAACGGACAAACAATATTTATTGACGAACATCGTACAAAATTCGGAATGTACGGAAAACGGTGTTATCAATCAAACTTGCCAAATTGAAAACGATTCACCATCAACTGCTGTTTGCGTTGTTTCGGAATGCGAGTCGGCGCACAACAATATTTCAAAAGACGAAAATCCATCGTCGAACATTTTACCGAGTAATGCATTTTCCATAGCTGATAATACTTGTGAATATCTTGAAATTCATGACGATCATAACAATTCGAACGAAAAAGATATTCATCGTCAGAAACGTAGAGGTATTTGTTTGCCGACGATTCACGGATTGGATATAGACAAAGATGTTTCAACAAAAGATTCAAACTCTTGTCTTCCATTGCAAAAGAGACGTGGTATTTGTTTCTCGAATCAGCTTATTCTTGAAATGGAAAGTAACGACCAAGGGAAACTTATAACCAATAGAAATTTGATACTGGATATAAGTACGAAACACAACGAATCAGAGAACTGCTCTTTGAGTAACATTTGCAAAGATTTGAACAGTATTACAATGTTAAGGGACAGAATGGAGACTCCAACGATATTTAACGAGAGTTGCGAAAAAACAGAGGAAACGGAAAAATTAACTAAAGAGTTACAACAGAGGGACGAAACGATGAGTTGCGTTACTTCGATTCACGATTACGAGAACGTTTGTCCTCTTGGTGTGGCTAGGCCACCATGGTGTATTCGTAGTTGGAAAGGA